ACATAGCCTTGCGGTGTATGTGTGTATGTTCAAACGGTGTAGACACAACGTACGCGCTAGCCTCATATCTGCTTTGCATTGAAATATACAACGCGAGATGAGCGTGGCGCGGTGTGTGTATGAACGTACACAGAACGTAGCAAACGACAACCGTTTTCACTAGAGAAAAGGGGCCATTTTTCAATCACCTCGCGGCTTGGAACGAATTTCCCATTCCCGGCAATACCGGGCCATTCACACCAATAGTGTGCTTCACCACCAAGGAATGACATATCTTTAAAGAATTGTACCAAGATTAAAATAATTTGTAAAAAATTCATAAAAATCAATTGACTAATAATTTTTGCTCCTGAAACCCAGGAATAATTTCTTTTAGAATTGGTGATTTCAATTATTATAACTTACATGTGATTCGTATTGGATTGCCAATAGTTCGGGTGGCTTTAACTGGAATCAAATTTGCAGGTTCTAGTCCTGAAATGTGTACAGTTTTTTGAAGAAATTCCAACAAAAGTAATGGCCATTGAGCAAAAACTTCACGAGATGAATGAATTTGGTAGAGCATGGAGTCTTTTCGCTGGACTAAGTATTCCAAACGGCCATTGTTGAAACGAACATCTGCGCATCGAAATATAATAGATATTATTTAAAACAATAATTGAATAAAATGTGTACACGTGCATATATGGATTCATTATGACGGGTTTTCTTCTGTGTTTTTCTTTCTGTTGTTCTAAAATTTAATTACTTATACACAGTTTGTCAGAATCACTGCCAATATAAATGAAAAAAAATACTTACTTTCGATTCGACGTGCCTGTTTGGCTTCGTAAGCATCCAACATTTCTTGGCAATCATCAACACATTCATTTGGCTCCCATGTGTTGTCCTTATTCGAATAGCCTTGCCATTTAATCAAATAGAATGACTGGAAATTAAAATCAATCATAAAGTCAATAAAGATAGATCGTGGGAAAAATACGAACAATATCTATGCACGTGCTTGTCAAGATTTTTGTATAGTTTTGTAAGACTGTACTTTTATATGAATTGCTTCGAACTTTTTGCGCAAACAAAATCAATTTTTTTTAAACAATATTCACTCACCGTATCATCCACAACTTTCCGATCAAGAATCTTCTCGACATTGTATCGATTTAAATTGTCGCTCATATTTTCACTTTTTGGAATAAAAATATCTTTGAAAAAGTTCACCGTTGAAATTGTTTTCGATCGTATGTGTGCACTGTACGAGCTCAAAAAACAGAGTAAGCCGGAGTAAGCGTGAAAAAGTGCAAAATGACATTTCTCATTATAGGAAATTCAGTTTCACAGCGCCATCTTCAGGCATGCACTTGATGTTGTCGAAATCTGAATATCAAGTGCAAACTTTGTAGTGAACACAGTAGCAAAGTGTTTTGATTAAAATTTGCAACGTGAAAATAAAATATGCGTTATTGCAACGTTTCAAGTTGCAAATATTTTCGAGGAATCAAAGATGCTGGTATTCAATTGTTTAGGTAATGAATTTTGAATTGATATACGTTAGCCACATTTCTCTAAAAATTCGTTGAAATTTTATTGCAGGCCGCCAACTGGGATGGATTGGCTGGCAAAATGGAATATGGCATTATCAAAAACAAAGTGTTCGGTCGGACATTTAACCTGCATTCGACATTTTTCATCTAATGATTTGATAAAAAGAGATAAGAATAGATATGCCTTAAGACCATTGGCAGTACCCACAATTTTTTATCTGAATGATGGTGATACAGTTGTACAAACGAACGATGGTAGGCCCATACAAAATATTTAACCTGAATGTGATGATAGGCCTACAATTTGTATTCTGGATGATGAGACAATTTTGCAAAGCAACGCGCTACCCATACAAACTGTTGTGCCTGAATGTAACTGTGCATCACTGCAACAAATGATACAAACGCAATCCAATGAGATATTGAGGCTAAAGGACAAAAGTTGTTATTAACAAAAGTCTCATTAGCAACTTTACAACTCATTCGCTTTCTCAAGATCATCTAGAACAGCTTTTCGGATCAATTCCTATTCAAATCCTACCTGCCAGCAATTTAATGCAGCGATGCGAAAAGTTCTGGCCAGTACCACACTACATGCTCCAAAAAAAGGAAATTGCACCGTTTTAGAAGATTCAGGTCCGGTCCAAAATCCATATTCAAATATACTGTCGATCACATCACGCAAAACAAAAAGAGTTGCTCCATGTACACACACCAATATGGAACTCATTGATGAAGATATTGAGCCAATTTTAACTGAATTAAGTGCAATCAGAGAAAGTACAAATAAAT